CCACTTTCATTCAGTGACCTATTTTACTTTATTAAGAATGCCAAGAGTACATACGAACAATGGAATATTACTCAGCATAAAAAAAGAAACATGTCTTTTGCAGCAACATGGATGGAACTGGAAAAGATCATGCTTAGTGAGATAAGCCAGAAAGAAAAACAAACAAAAAAAAAAAACAGATGGTTTCGCTCATAGCAGGAGTATAATGGACAAGGCGAGAAAATAATAATAATAAACAGCCATATACCAGAGACATTTCATGGGGGTAAGTGGGGAATGGGATCAAAAAAAGTGGGGGAGGGAAGTGCGTTGGACTGTGGTGATGGTACATGGGTGACTTGGTGATGGGAAACACATGGGGATTACAATTGAGATGGGAGAAAAAATGTACAAAATGATATAAAAATAAACTATTATATTTAAAAAAATGTCAAAAGCTAAAAATCACATCAATGTAACTGTCCTTCAAATCCAAGCTTACTTTGTCCCTCTCCAACTTGGAAGAGGTTTCTCAACTCCTCTATACCATTTAATACTCACCCTCTCCCCCTCTTCCTAAGTCATGTTCCATCCTTTTCCTAAATCTACTCAGTTACTCTCCTCCACTTAGAAACACACTCAGGGCCCTCCCTGGTGGTACAACAGGTTAGGATACAGCACTGCAAGCTGGCCACAGCCACTTTCGTATGAGTTCGATCCCTGGTCCCGGAGGTGATCCACATGACGTAGCAGACCTCCCCTGTCTCACCCACTGCTCCCCTTAGCAGTGTACTTCGTCAGTTGGCCTGTTCTGCTCCCCACTCTGTCTCTGGTGAATCCTCTTACTGCCCCTGCACCTCTGGCCTATACCCCAGTTCTGTATGTATAAATAAATAAATCTTTTAAACCACACACATTCAACGCGTATAACCTTAAAATTATTTTCCCCAATCCTGGTTCCCAGTCAATGACTACTTCTCATTACTAAAAACTTCTGAAAGTTCAGTTTACATTTGTCTTCTCATTCTAACCTCCCATTCATAACTTCTATGCTATTTTACTTGCACCAATGAGATCAGCAACATCTTTTTTTTTTTTAAGATTTATTTATTTATACATACAGAACTGGGGTATAGACCAGAGGTCCAGAGACCACAAGAGGATTCACCAGAGAACAGGCAGATCGATAAAGCACACTGCTGAGGGGAGAAGCAGGCGAGACAGGAGAGGTCTGCTGTACCATGTGGGTCATCGAGGAGGAATCAAACTGAAATTCCTGTGGCTAGCTTCGCAGTGCTGCACTTTAACCAGCTGTGCCACCAGGGAGGGCCCAGCAATATCTTTTTGTCAAATCCAACAGCTTCTTTTCAATTCTGATATATGTTACAGGCAAAGTAGTTGTGTCCTTGTTTGGTTTGCACTGCATGACTTTCTTGATTCTCCTATGTCTTTCCCAATATTACCTTTCACTGCTTTCTTTTGGACTCCGCTTCTCTGTCACCTATTCTTGATGCTCAAAGATCTCCTGGTCACATTACTCACTTTAGGGATTCAATTATGCTGATATTTGATGACTCTCTAATCACCATTCAAACTCCCACCTAAGCCCACATCTAGTGTGTCGTCCACAGTCACCAATTCCTAAATGTCACAAAGACTCTAAAGTTCAACATAAAAAAAAAAAACAGAAAATGACAAACCTCTCTAATCAATCTCATATATCTTCTCCAGAGCTTGGCACACAGTAACAATCGTGACTAACTGGATTCCAACTGAAATGAAATAAAGGCAGTTCATGAGCCATTGCCAAAGTTTTTGTATATTCTAAAGTTCCTCTATCAACCAATCACTAGTTCTTTTGCTACAAAATTAAACTACATCTTCCTATAAAAACCTATTTAAAAAAAATAAAATTAAAAAACTTTTCTGGAGCAACTAGTTAAGGCACAGCACTATGAAGCTATGGCAGCCACTGCAGCATGAATTTGATTCCCCACAGGGGAGGGGACCCACATGGTGCAGCTGAAGGCTCCTGACCTGCCCCCTGATCCCCTCGACAGGGTATTTCAGTCAGTCTACCTATTCTCTCCTCACTCTGGTGAATCCTCTGACTCCTCCACCCCCACCCCACACCTCTGGCCTGTATCCTAGTTATTGTATGCATAAATAAATAAATTTTTAAAAAGATCAGGGAGAGATTTTTAAGTTTCACATGTTTTGTTTTTTGTTTTTACTGCTGCAGTTTTAATAGGTTCCCAGGTGATCTCCATTTTGCAACATTTTCCTGCTATATTTAAATGTTACTATAGAATCAAGTTCTTGTGATTCAGTGCAATAATCATTTCAATATCTATGGAGCAGAGCTTCTCAGCATGAGTGCGCAAGTGGATCACCTGTGGATCTTATTAAGTTGCAGCAGTAAAAAAAAAAAAAACTTCTGGAAAATAAATAAATAAATAGCACTGAGTCAGAAACATAAAAATCTCTGCATTTACAGCAGCCAACCAACACTGAAAGTCTGGGTACATGAAGCACACTTTTTAGGTAGCAAGGCTATATAATAGGTTATTGTACCCTTCCCCCCTCCCCTTAAGTTAGTCAGATTTCATTATATAAAATGTAAAATATATGACAAGCAACACATTACATCTATGACAACATGCATATCTTTTATACTAGTTTTTTATTGTTGCAAAAGAAATTACCATCTTAAAATAACAAGAATAATGAACAACCATATACCAGAGACATTTTGTGGAGGTGGAGTGGGGAATGAGATCAAAAAGAGGGGGTGGTGAGGGGGTAGGGAGGGAAGTGCACAGGATTATGGTGATGGGACAAGGGTGACTTGGTGATTGGAAACCCGCAGGGACTACAATTGAGATGGAAAAAAAGTGTAAAAATGTAAAATAAACTTATAAAATTAAAAAAAGAGAGAAATTACATCTTATATTTCATAAATTTCAGAGTCAAGTAAACCAGAGACATTCTGCGTGTGTATGTGTGTGTGTGTGTGTGTGTGAGAGAGAGAGAGAGAGAGAGAGAGAGAGAGAGAGAGAGAGAGAGAGAGGGTGATCAAAACCGGTAGGAAGAGCGCAAGGGATTATGGTGATGGTACAAGGGTGAATTGGTGGTGGGAATTCCACTACAACTGAGATGAAAATGGGTACATTGTACAAAAATGAAGAATGGTGTAAAAATATATATATATATATATTTATATATATGCTTAAAAAAATTCTAAATGGTTTTTAGGTGCCAATTACACATTCTAGCTTTATCTCCAACTATTCCATTACTATCACTCACCCCAGTGCATACTTATACTGACAACTCCCTAAAATCTCAATTTCTGTTAAGTCCATCCAGAAAACAGAGCCTAAATAAAGCCATCAATTTAGTGATTCTCTTCTCTTTCCCATCTACTGATATTTGTTCTAGTTTGCCTGCTTATAGATCAAGCATTTCATCACTCTACCGCAGAATTACAGTATCATGGCTTACCAGTATCACGGCTTACTTATTCTACATTAGACAGAGAAAACATGAACTTTCCCCCACAATTAACAGATCACTATCTTATGTTTGTTCAATTTTTTAAAGATATAATTATAATACCTACTCTTTCAAAGTACACAATTCTGTGGTTTTTGGTATATATTCAAAGCTGTGCAATCATCATCATTATATAATTCCAGAAAATTTTCATCACCCCAGAAAGAAATCCCATACCCTTGTCTATATCACTCCCACGGTACTCAATGCCCCAGGTCCTGGCAAACTAATCTGTCTCTGCAGATTTACCTCTTCTGGATATTTCATATAAATGAATATGTGATCTTTGTGACTGGCTTCTTTCTTTCATAAGGCATGATGTTTTCAATGTTCATCCACGTTGTAGAATATATCAGTACATTTCCTTCCATGGCTAAAAAATTTCATTGTATGAATACATTCTGTTTTATTCATTTATCGGGTGATAGGCATTTGGGTATTTCCACTTTTTGGCTATTCGAAGTAGCCAAACATCTACAATTTTTTATTATGACATGTTTTCAGATCTTTTGGGTATCTACCTAGAAGTAGACTTGCTGAGTAATAGTACTAACTCTATACTTAACATTTGAAGGAACTGCCAAACTCTTTTCCAAAACAGTGAACCATTTTACACTCCTACCAACAATGTATGAGAATGTCACTACTATATTTTCAACCAATGAGGATGGTATCATTCCTGAACCAAAAGGGATGTGTGCCCCCACACTTAAGAATAATTCTCGACTAAAAATACCGGACTAACAAAATAGAAGTGTATTTCCAGCAGGGCAACAAGAATAAAAAATGTATTTTAAGTCCTAGTATAGTGAACAAGTGAAGTAACCTCTCCAACGGTATTAATCGTTAAAACCTGGACGATGTAATAACATTCCCGTTGCAGTCCTCGTGAAGATTAAATAAAACAATCCACGTGAAGATGCTTCCCAATACTGATTCTCCAAGATTCCATGCCAGGCAAAATATTAAGGGGCAAAAGGCTAAAACCCCATATCCCTCCTCCTCCTCCTTCACGTTTCTTCCCCGCGGGAGGGGTTGCTGAGTGACAGCGGGGTTGTAGCCACCTCCCTTCTCCGGGAGAGTCCGCCTGACGAGCCACGCAGGATAAATTGGTAAAAGCTCGGAGGCAGAGCCGGGTCACTCCTGCCTAACATCATCCCCGGGAGATTCCGCAACCTGCCACTAAGCTTGGCAAGTCAGTGTACGATTTTTTTAAAATGGTAATGAACATATTTATTATGGTCGAAGCAGAAAAGGAGGAGCAAAGAGAACACAAGTATATACCCCACCCCCAACACACGATCCCGGTATTTGACTGTCAAGACCCAATAAGGAAAACAAATACAGTATGAAACCCGACTCATCACGAACTCTGTAGGTTTATCAATGCCAAGGGCCCTCCCGCCTCCGCCCCCAATCCGACACGGAGGGGTCGGATCCCTGGAGTCTGAAGGCGAAAAGCTTACCTGGTGGCTTCCTCCAGCTCGGCCCGGTTCCGACCAAGCGCCTCCAGAGGTATAGTAACCATCGCCGCCTCCGCCTTCCCCTGGCCAGGTGGTCTCAGCCGGGCCGCCCCCGCGCACCCGCCAGGAAATGGGAGGCTGGGAAGGTTCTGGGCGAGTCGAATATAAGGGCGGAAGTGGGTGCACCGGCACATCTCCACCCCCAGGCCCATAATAGCGGCCATAAGAGGGACCGTCACTGGGGCCGTAGCCCGAGCGCCTCAAGGCCGACATGGGCTCCACTGCCCCTAAGCGCTTCCCGCCCCCCAAGGCCAGCCCATTGCGCAGGCGCCTGCCGGAGAAAGCGAATGGACTACAGTGAAGGGGGTCGGCCAACAACAGCCAATCCCAAGCCCGGTCCCGCCTCTAATGCTGTCGAGCTCTGGAAGGAGTGACGGAAGTCCGTGACTCTGGGGTTTAGGAAACCGGAAGACGAGAGGTAGCATCGTGTTTCTTAGAGGTGAATATATTTCTCCACCACCTAGCCAGTCTAGATTACTTTATCAGGGATCGAGGAAAGGGTATCCCGGGACGGCACGACGGCCCCGCCTCTTCCTGGGGATGGGCACAGGATGCCGGAAGTGGGTGGGGCTAATATGGAGGCGTTTCCGGCTTGCCCCGGCTTTGGGCTGAAAGCCGGGGCAGACTTGCTGGTTCGGGTCTGGGTTCCCGTCGCGGTCCCGCCAAGGCGGCGACTGCGGTAGGAAGAAGGGAGTGTTGGGCGCACTGGCACTATACTTCGCAGCCTTATCTTAGCTCAAAATGAACTATATGCCTGGTACCGCCAGCCTCATCGAGGACATCGACAGTGAGTAGTAGCTCTCCTCCGGGCGGAGTCCCGAGTGAGACCCTTTCTCCCGGGTGGGTGTCTCTTGGAGAGAGCTCGTTGAATAAGTCTGAAGCCCGGCGGGCGGTGTGTTTTTAGCTCAGTTCAGAATATTTGGCAATTGACATCCTCCATAGAATGGATAAGCCACGGGACCCGCTGTTTCCCCACTTCCTAGTCCACAACCTCTATCCTGCCCCGCGCTGCCTCTGCCAGTCCCCTGGCTGGTGAACCATAGACTGTAGAATTTGTTCCTGCTTCCGAGGAATGGGCCTTTGAGACCCAAACACGAAAGTTGCCCAGTTTACTTCTCTTTAGTCCACTTTTAACTCGCAGCGCTTCAAAGTACCAGACTGTTATTGGTGGCTGAGTGAGAAAAACTTAAAGGACTTAATAAACGAAAGTATTTAGACTAAAGGAGTTGAACTTAATTGGCAAATATGGCCGTTTGCAGTCTTCGTTCACACTGATCGAGTCTTTAGCACTTTCAGACGAAGAATTAGAGTAGCCACTTAAAATTGTCTTGTTTTCCCCTTTTTAAAATTCGATTAACTATTCCTCAAGGAACACTTTTTAAATCTGATCTGTCTCATTAACTTTTAATTGCTGCAAAATGAGTTACACACGGTTACTAACAATGTACCTCTAGGTTATATATGCAAATTTAGTCTATGGATTGAATAATTTTTAAAGTTGTCAAGAGGTCTTTTTTTGACCCAAACTTTTATTTTGCCGTTTAAGGGAAATTTAGTGCAAACTGGGCCAAATTCATATATGTGCAACCACTGTGTACTGAAATCTTTGATTTTGATTGAGGATGCCCTTTACTCCACCTCTTGTTATATATCTGAATTGTAAGACCTCTTTAACACATGGTACTAACATTTTATTAAAAATAATTTTTGTTCTCATGACTTCTTTATATATTCCAGCACGTTTCCTTTACTGAAGTTTGAAGCCATTTCATAGCAGCACCCTTCACTGCCACATTCACCCATTTTACTCCTTTTTCCCCGTAATCATTCTTTCATTATTTTCACTTGAATAGGAAGTACTCTTTTCTGTTTGTATCTTTCATTACTTTTTCTTTCCATTGCTTCTGGAACCTTCCATCAATATTTTTTTCCTCTACTAGCTTCTCACCCCCTTAATTTCCAACATGGTGTTCTTGTCAGTCCATCTCACATTTTTTCCCAATGTTTCCTCATCAAATTCCCAGCCCCTTTTTTTCTGTCTTTACTACCACACCTGTTGAATTATCTCCATTTTGATTCTATTTCTTGACCATCTGTAATAGGTCATATCTATTACACCTGTAATCTGATTTTTGTTACAGTGTCCAAGTGACGCTAAATTGAAAAGGCCTTGGGCTAATACACTCCTTAGAGTTCTTCTCTCCCCTGGAAGCATTGTGATACTGTTGCCACTGGATTCTTAATCCTTTGACACTGGATGATGATTTTCTTGCCTCTCCATCTCTGTTAGCCTGCAATAGTCTCGAGTGCCATCTTCAACATGCTGCTTTTTTTTAAATCTCTGGGAGAAGTCCTGGGCTTTAATAATTATATCATCCGTGTGGACTTAATCCAAAATTCCTCTTTAATTCTGACCTCACTGACATTTCCAATTCTGCCTATTGACATTTCCACAGAGATTTCCTGGTAGCACTTCAGAATTACAGACAGCTAATAACTTTTCAGCTGAGCTTGTTTCTTTTATTCCCAACTTTCGGGAAATGACTCAGATTCTTACAACTTTAACTCATCTTTTAGCACGTGCTCTCTCACACATACCCAGAAATACAAACTCAGTTGACCAATTCTATCACTTACAATAGCACAGTCTTAGTCCTGTCATTTTTCTCTTTTCCCATCTCTACTTGGTTCAGCTTTTTCCCTGTCTCCAACTCCCAGAATAGTTTCATGACTGCTCTCTGTTCTGCCAATTTAATCTTCAGTTTACTGTGAAGTAAAATAAATCCATACTCAAATTGCAAGTACTTTTCTGACTTCATCTCCTGTTATTTCTCTTTATACCCTTGACTTTTACATAAATACATGAATACATACCCCCCCCCCTTTTTTTTTCCCTCCTCCTCAAATGACAGATTTCTCTCCTCTCTCTTGTCATGGCCAAAAATTATCTTTCAAGGGGCCAGCCCTTGAAACTGTTTTCTTGTGACAATTATAGCCCAAGGAAAACTTCCCTTTGGGAAGAAACACTGCCTCATTCTTCTGCATCTGGAAAACTGCCTCTTCTGCATCTGGAAAGTACTTAATACATGACCTTAAATGAATGAATGAATATGATGGCTTTTCTAATGACTGGCTGATTCTCTTTGGTGTCGGCTTAGAGACACCTCTTCAGGGAGGTTTACCCTAGCACCCTCTCTCCTGTAGCTACTTCCTCTCTCTTTTCATATATCCTGCTATCTTCTGTACTATCCATGTGCTATAGGTATTTTTTGTTTGTTTGTCTTTCTCCACAGTAAATGCAAGTTTATAAGGTTGTTGATACTTTGTATCTTACTCCCCACATTGTATATCTATACACCAGAAAAGCATGTAACTCTCACTAAAAATCATTGAATCTTTGCTCTTGCTATCAGCATTCCCAGTTCAAATGTCTAAGCCACTGTTTTTATCTAAAACCTATTGACTTCAAACAGTGTTAACTGTAAGATCTTCCATGTAATACAATTTTAGAATATAATTCTAGAGTTAATATCAATTAGGCCAGCCATTCCTTTTCCCATTCTGCTGTATTACTGATTCTTTTCAACACTGATTTTCTATTAAAAAGGAAAAAAAAAAATTCTATGGGTCCTACACCAGGGAGGTGGGAGGAGTAAATATTGTTCGAAAATGAACAACAATGTAAATATACATCTGTATAAACAAATACTTTTTTAAAATCCCAAAGTTGAGGGGGGAAAAAAAGTTCAGTTTCAGGATATTTGAGACTTTTTCAGCTGGTAGCCATGGAAGCCTGCCTTCCTATCTTTCTCCCATGCCGCCTTTAAAACTGGTAATTAACCCATCAATAAATGAACTGATAGAAGAAAACAAAAAGGCAAAAAAAACATTTACTCTTTAATGCATTGGAAGAGAAAGTGATACTGAGTCTTAAACTACCCTTAGCTTTGTTTATATTGTATAAACTCACTGAAGCCAACAGTTCTTATTTTTTTTTTTAAGATTTTATTTCCTCTCCCCAGAAAAGCACTTGGTCCTGCTTCGGGATGGAAGGACACTAATAGGCTTTTTAAGAAGCATTGATCAATTTGGTATGTACTACTTACAAACTTCTCATATATTTTAGATAATAAGAGTTGCCCTCAGTACTTCTGTGTTATTAAATTTTGAAACTTATTTGTAATTTTTGTGCTGTTGTCTGGCATAAAGGAACACTGATTTGAATCATTAGCATCATTGTCTTCTGGTAGAAATTAAGGTTAGTTGGCTCAAAAACTTGTATTTACAAGCTCATATTTCTAAAACTGGTTTTCACTAAAATGTTTTAGGCTATTTTTTTATTTTCCCCATTAGAGGGAGCCAGACAGTAGAAATAAACTTATTTCACTGAAAAACCTGCTTATTTTCACATACACTTACATTCGACTATTCTCCAAAGCAGTTCTTGCACTTGAAGGTAAAACCTTCCTTGCAGTGCAAATTAGGTAGGAGACATTTTTTGAAGCTCAAGATTATAAGCTTAGGACTGTTGAACTCAAGAGTCCCACTCTTTGTTTTGTACACTGCATTTTTCTACTATTTCAGGGAACTTCACAGTTCACATCAGCATTTGTTGGACATCAGGTCAGTGGATTTGGACGTTAGGAAAGACAACATAAATGACACACTTGTAAAAATTACAGAAGGAGGAGAGCATAAATAACTGCTTTTCTTCAAATAGGGTCAATGGTACCAATTGAAAGAAGAAAATTGATCTTAATGGCCTATGGTTCTAAACCAAGTCAAATTCATCAGAATCCTTTAAAGGGAAAGTAGTTAAATACTGACTGTATTCTTACATTACCAGATAGGTTATCTGACAATGGAAACACAGGTCTTTGCTATATTGTAGTCCCTGGATACCTGCATTGGACTAAATGAATCCAAAGTACTAAAACAAAGTTAAATCTTTGATAAATCATCACATGCACATACTCACACAACATAGGAAAAACTTTTCCTTCTCAACAAAAACAAAACCCAAGGCCTCCCTGGTGGCGCAGGGGTTAAAGTCTCAGCATTGTCAAGCTATCACCAGCCACTGCAAAATGAGTTTGATCCCCCTGTCAGGAAGCTAACCTACATGGCACAGCAGATATCTCCTGTCTCACCCACTGCTCCCCTCAGCAGTATATTTCAGTCAGTCTGCCTGTTCTGCTCCCCATTTTTCTCTAGTGGATACTCTTACTCCCTTCACTCCCCCACCCATCTGATCTACACCCTAGTTCTTGTATGAATAAATAATAAATCTTTTTTAAAAAAGCAAAGTTTTAATTACTCTTTGCAGTTGTTGTTGAGCTCTAGAGTCTTCCAAATGCCCTGTTCTTTTTTTTTTCCTGATAGCTGTATTAATACTAGCAGTTAATACAGGAATTTCATATTTTTACCGTATTTCTACCATCATTAATGCCTCTTAATCCCAAATAGTCTCTCAGTTTGTAATTGTTTAAAAATCCCCTAAATGGTGTGTCTAATGAAACAGAAGATTGTTTGACACTTGATCTTTTCCCAGAACTAGAAAGTTTGGAATTCACCTTTAGCTAGATCTTTTCTACTCAAAATAAATTATTGCGTTTTGGATCTATATCCAATAATTTGAACTAAATGTGTTTGTTTCTTCCCTGTACACTTATAGCTAACTTAGTCCTACATCAGACTGTGGAGCGTATTCATGTGGGCAAAAAATACGGTGATATTCCTCGAGGGATTTTTGTGGTCAGAGGAGAAAATGTGGTCCTACTAGGAGAAATAGTAAGTGAAAACTATTAAGCTGCTCTGGGTCTTGATAATCATGCTAGTTAGGTTTCTTTTCTTGTGATCTTAAGTAAGATAATATTTTCCACATTTACTGAACTTTTCACAGGAAATTACCAAATTAGCTTAGGTTGTAAATTATCTACTGAGATCGTTGTAAGAAAATTATAGAGAATAACTTTGTTTCAGTACCTTTGGGCATTGTAAAGATTTTAATCCTATTAGCAGCAACCTATCACTGATGTTACTGGTTATAACACTGTCCTACACAAATGTGCTCATTAATATACTTAATTCCATTGTCTCTATTAGCAGAAAATGAAAAGTCTTGATGCCTAATGAGAGGATAATTCAACAAAGTATGATTTATATACATTGGAATATTCTGCAGTCATTTGAACAATTGCTTACAAGTAGTCTTTCATAACATAAATTGTTTACAGGAAGATATCTTGCCTATACATGCTATACAGGTTTTTAAAGTGGGGAAGGGGAAGGAATGGCCTTTCAATTAATTGTCCTGAGAATAGAGGTTGCTTTAATTGAATCCTTAGTTGACAGCCAAAGAGGAAATCCTTATTTGTCTGTGCCAATAAGACCAGCTGGCAGGTAAAAATTTAATCTTCTGAAGCATTTTACTCTAGGGTATGTGTGTACCGACATACAAACACAAATATACACATCTGCATGCAATTATACACATCGAAAACATGGCCCTCCCTGGTGGCACTGCTGGTTGGGACACAGCACTGCAAGCTAGCTGCAGCCGCGTCAGTGCGAGTTTGATCCCTGCCCCAGAGGTGATCCACATATCACAGCAGACCTTTCCTGTCTCTCCCACTGCTCCCCTTTGTCAGTCTGCCTGTTCTGCTCTCCCATCTGTCTCTGGTGAATCCTCTCACCACCCCTGCATCTCTGGCCTGTGCCCCACTTCTGTATGCATAAATAAATAAACCTTTTAAAAGAACACACACACATATAAAACTACTAAATACCCAAACATTTTTAAAAGAAGATGAAATTTGATTTCATGTTTTACCTTATTTTAAACCTTTGACTTAATCCTGCTACTTCTGATTACTGGTGTTGCCAAGAAAAATCAAAATAAAAAACTTGGATGTTTGCTTATTTTTTTGTTTTGTTTTAAAAATTTTCAATAAAGTTGCCTGATATCTAGCCACATCACCCAACCCCACCACCATAGTATAGCCCATCCTTGCCACATCTCAAATCAGGTTTACAGAAGCAGTCTGTGTGATGTGATTAGGTTCATGGCTATTTTAACATTAAATTAAGTAAGGAGATAATTCTGCTAGGAGCTTGCTCAATCAATCTTCAGATAGGAAACAACTGAAATGACTAAGACTGTCAATATAGCCCAAGTGCTGCTATGAAATGTCTGAAAGACCTTTTCCTTATTTTTAAAGTACTGTTGCAGTTGATACGTTTGGTTTAATGTAGCATTTCTTGCATGTTTAAGCAGCAGCACTGTCATTTCCTTGTATTATGTGAAGATGTGGTTGAGTGGGGGTGCTAGTCTGCAGAAGGGCTAGCCCATCTCTGGACAGTATAATTTTGGGTATTTTTCCCTTTTCTGAATTTCTTTTGGAAAAGGAAGCATACTACTTTGCTAATGGGAAAAGATGTAAGTTAAAAATATTTACATATACTCTGCATACATTCTGTACTAGCATATGCCACAGACGTACTTTCTGGGAGTCCTTTTGTGGAGAAAATTACTCTTTTTTGGTAGCTATGTTTTGATTTGATGCTGCAGAATATATGCAATAATAATCACCAAAGATACGGTTCTGGGTTGCTTATATAGTTATATGAATCAGCAGTCATTTCAAGCAAATTATGTACCAACCCTGGAGAAACTAACATCCAGAAACTAGAGTCTATAAACAACCCATTGCCTAAGAAGTCCCTGGATTCTGCCTCAAGGATAATGATGCACACAGCCTTAGGTAATCTGATTGTTGAGAAGCAGAATCATTATGACCACATGAATAACTCAAAAACAAACTGAAAAGTCCAGAAGACCACACACTAAGCAATAGAACATTACTTCCCGTTAGCAGCTACCCGTGAGTGCAGGTTGTACTTGATATTATGTCATTTTCTGGGGGCAGTAAATAACTTTTTGACCCAGAATAGGGCTTGCTTATGTAATCTGTGTGGCTTCCATTCTAATCTCTCTGTTGAGAACCCTTCCTCTGATAGGAGATTAGCATCCATGGGTAGGCTGGCACATACAGAGATGTTGTGTATGTGCTGTTACCTCCCCAGAATTTTATAATTGAGAATGACAAAAATAAGAGCCAAGAGCCTCCCTGGTGGCCTAAAAGTTAAGTCTTAGCTGTCATCACAAGGGCCTGAAAAGATCTCCAGAAAAGGAGCTAACCCACACATGGCATAGCAGACATCTGTCTCACCCGTTGCTCCCCTTTGCAGTTTATTTTAGTAAATCTGCCTGTTTTGCTCCCTACTCTGTCTCTGATGAATCTTCTCACTAGCCCCTCCTCGCACCTCTGGCCTATACACCAGTTCTATGCAAAAATAAATTAAAAATTTTAAAAGAAGAACCAAAAATACCCTGTGTATATAGATTTTCCATTTCATAAAACCAAAGAATGCCTGTATGTTCATTTTATCGAGGTGGCTCAAAATAAAAATAAGCTTGTGATGTTAAGTAAAAATTATATTTGTGGCCCTCCCTGGTGGCACAGTGGGTTAAAGCACAGCACTGAAAAATTGTATTTGTGTCGTGGTAGTTGTTTTTTTTAAGTCACTATTTACATAGAGTAAAAGGAAATTCGCCAAACTATCCCTTCATACTGGAACTATGGATAAAATGTTTTTGCTTATTTTCTGACTTTCAATACAATAAGCTTGTGTTTTTATAAGGGAGAAATAGTTTGAAATGTTTGTTCAATTAAAATAGGAAATATGCTAAGACTACTTAGTAAACTAACAGGTATGCTGAGGTTTTTCTCTAAAGGACCGGTTGCCATGGGATGGGGGGAGGAAATAATAATTCAAAGTTAATACAACAAAGGTACAGTTTATTGCCTGCATAGTGGGGACAGGTAGTGCTACTTTTAGTTCACTGTTCTCTGCCTTATTGAGCATCAGCCCCCAGATTTTAATGATTTGGTAATGTAAAAATACAAAATTTATCTAAGGCCATGTTGTCCTTAGTAATAACTTCTCTCGAATTCTCTGGGTTTTTGAGAGAGCTATTTATAAACACCCCAACAAAAGTTCTTAAAGTTAGACTTTGGGCGCCTCCCTCCCTGGTGGCCTAGGGGTTAAGTCTCAGTGCTCTCATGCTATATACACTGCACTGTGGCAGGCATAAGTTAGATCCCCAGCCAGGGAGCTAACCTGTACATGGGATAGGAGACTACTCCTGTCTCACCTGCTGCTCCCCTGAGCAGCGTATTTCAGTAGATCCATCTGGATCTGTTCCACTCCCCACCCTGTCTCGGGTGAATCCTCTCATCCCCCACCCCTGGCCTACACTCCAGTTCTTTTATGTATAACTAATTACATAAATCTTAAAAAAAAAAAAAAAAAAGTCCTTGACTAATAGAGAACTTTCAATAATCTAAAGCTTTGTTCTATACACTGGTACTGACCCATTATCACACTTCTTAGAGATATGTATTTTGTAATAATCTTGCCAAGCATTTCTTTGAAAAACTTATCTGTTCTTAGGAGGAGGAGATTTCAACTCTGTCATTTACAAAAAATAACTCAAGTCTAATAAAGGACTCCATTTGCCTTTAGATCTGTAATACTTTCCATTTTTGGTAATAAGGTGAAAGTATTTGAAACCTGCTTGTTTTATAGGACTTGGAAAAGGAGAGTGACACACCCCTCCAACAAGTGTCCATTGAAGAAATTCTTGAAGAGCAAAGGGTAGAACAACAGACCAAGCTGGAAGCAGAGAAGCTGAAAGTTCAGGCACTGAAGGATCGAGGGCTCTCCATTCCGCGAGCAGATACTCTAGATGAGTATTAAGTTTTCTACTCAGAGACCACTGCACTTTCACAGAATTAAAGAAGCATCTTGGTCACCTTACACATTTGACTAAAGACTATAGGGTTCAGAAAAGTCCTTTTTATTTTTTAATTCCTTCACATATGCAACATGAAGATATCAACTGACCTTTTTGCTTTTTCCTTTTTAATAACAAGATCATCATTTAAAAAAATACAGAGGCATGGACTCCTTTCATTCATCACTGTGAAGCCAGCAACTACTTCTATTTGCTCTTCTCGTCTCAAATTAGAGTTTGCAGTGGACATTTTTCACTTACTTGTAAATAAAATATGAATCTCATAACGCTCATGTGACTTCCCAAGTTCAAGTTGACTACAATGAATAGACAAAGGTGTTTCAGCTCTTGAAGGTATAAGTATACACACTGAAATTTCTCTTTTCATCACAGGTCCAAGTGGCTAGTTACTTTTAAAAGTTCTCCCCTCTCCCCTTTTCATGTTTGCATCTGATTAAAACTTTCAGGCTTGTAGAGGGAGCTTTCAGTGAAGGTCTGCAGATAATGAATGTCACAGAAGCCTCATGTTTAAGGACATCACTGCAGCTCTTGTTCCTGCTTCAACAGCTATTCCAAATTACATTCCTGTGAGGTCCAGTCTTTTCTTGTGGTCACTCTTTCTCTGACCTTCTGTGGATTTGTTTTTTAGTCCTTTGGATCGAATCTTCAACCTCATATGCTATGTTTTCATTAAAAAAAAAAACACAAAATGCACTGATGCATCTAGGTTAGTTAGTTAACTCATAGCTGACGAACAACCTTGGTGGTGCCAGTTTTCTGATACATCTAGGTTAGTTAGTTAACTCATAGCTGACGAACAACCTTGGTGGTGCCAGTTTTCTGATACATCTTGGAAGAGTAGTGGCTTCATAGTGTGACGGGAGGAGAAGGTAGTGTCATTTACTGAACTTGATTTACAAGACAGGTTTAAAATTTTTGATTGTTCTCTGGCATGTTGGGCTTGAACAAGTCAATGATACACTTCTTGTTTTGGGAAGGTTTTCTTGTTTTTAAAAAATGTAGAATTAGTCCAGCTAGTTCCTTTTTATAGTCTATTGAGTAGAAGATTCCTTTTTCAAAGATATTTATATCCAGTTCCTATGTCTGAATTATAGTATGAAATATACTTAACATTTGTGCTCAAAATGCCTGTAAGCATTTGACTTATAATTATCATTGGGTTAAGTTTTAAATTGATTATTTAGGAAAAAACTATTTAATGATTTATCGTAGTTTGTTTTGCTGGTATCTTATTAACAGCCAGAATTTGTTCTTAACTACCCACACAAGAGGCCAAAAGCCCATTCCCAGCTTTTGAAAAACCATGTCTATCTGACCATAGGAAGATATTCTTTGAGAGTCAGTGGAATTAACAGCTTTTGTTTATATGAGTACCACTATTTCCACATATCAGACCCCTTCAAGAGATATGGATTCACAAGTTACCTTATTTTTTCCAGCCCTCTTCAAATGCAATTCCAAATGCACTAACGATTTATAATTCTTTTAAAAAAGGACCTGCCATAGAATTTCTATGCCAAAGGAAGTTTTGATCACTGTGCATAATGTATTGCCTTTAGCTTGCCTTTGTCATATAGGCCACACAGCTAAGATCTAAAGGATGGAACTATTCATCTCTGACTCCATCTCTAACCTTCAGCTCTGCCCTAGGGTTTTTGCAGATACTAGTATCTGTTGCTCTTTTCCTGGCCCACTGCTGGTAGTGTCTTCTATTATTAGAATCAGAATCATCCTCAGTACTATTCTTAATAGTTTCTTCTAATATGGGTTCCCAAAGAGACCGCTTTCAAGGGAGCAATAAGATCTACAAAAGACTCTTTCCTGGCGATCTTTATTCTGATATAAATTTACAGCAGCATAGCTTAACTCTCTAGTCTCATTCTCTCCCCTCCTCCCCTTTTCCTTGGTCTTGAATATGACTGTATTCTCTTAGCTAAGTTTAAATCACAGTAACTGCTCCCCTCCCCAGACTCCAATAGGACCTGGATATTTACAAAGCCAAATACCCTCATATTGTCCATTGTGGAGGGCGTCTCAGGGAAGCCATATCAGCATGAACCCCAGAGGCATTACAAGAGATGAAGAAGAAAGCAAAGTGATCTTAATTTTGCCCACAGGAGTGTGAGCTAGCAGGCTGAGACAGCACAACCCAGACAGGAATGTAGGTGCCCCACGTAACTACTATAGATAGTTCCCAGCTTTAGATTTAAATCAATACATAAGATTCATAGTGACACTGCACAGTTTAAGGAATGGATCACAGGCAAGGAAACAGTTCCCCATATCCTGTCCCCCCCGCCCAAAGTAGTCTAAATATGTAATTAAGGGTAAGTATATTCATAGCTGTGGAACGTTTTCTCATCTTTAAAAGGCAAGTTACAAGATGAGTTCCATTCAACTTTCCCATTAGGAGCCAGCATTCGCAATGCAGTTACTCTGATTGCAGATGTTGCAGGCTCACACTAACGCCGAATAGCTCCCCAGCTTGAAGCTGAAACCAACCCTGCTCGTAATTAAGAGTAGGACAACCTAGTATGAGCTGTCACCTCGGAGTGGGAGGAGCAGAGATTAATGTGATCAAAGTACATGCATACGAGCCCTATTATCGCAACTGACTCCAGAGCAGACACCAACTTGCTAGACTTATGCAGAATCTAAAAGCATTATGATTTTAGCCAACAAGACTTAACATAAACCTAGTTTAAACCCAGGTTGCAATCTACTCAGTGTTGTAATGAAGTTAAGTAGACTATAACCAGCACCTTTTCAATTGAAACAGGCCTCTTAAGAGGTAAAGTTATGTCATGGGTCATGAAATAGGATTATGTGCGAAGCTGTTATTGGCCACCTTAAATATATTTGTTACTGCGTGGTTGTCAGAAACATTTAAAGCACTGGCTTAGTTTGCAATGATTTTTATGAACTTACTACAACTAGAAAAGTAAGTATTTTCCATCTTTTATCTCATCCCATAAAAATCACCTGTGCCCTGGAATAGACAAGCTCCTCTATGTGCTAAAACATTTGCGTCAGGTATCTGTGTGTATTTTTCCCTCACGATTTTTAGATCTCTGCTCCAATCCACTTTCCCAACATCTCTAAAATAAAAAGAAGCACTCTTTCTCGCTTACTTTTCATGATACAAGTATCACTGCCACCACTTTTGTTTACTCCCCCACTAGAATGTAAACCCTTAAAAAGCTCTTGTATTTCACTCTCTAGAGTGACACCTGGCATGTATTAGGGTTCAATATATATCTGATGGATTGGTGGGTGGGATGCAGTGAATTCAGGTTTGTAAATAAAGCAAGATGCTTGGGAGGATACTAAGGCATCAACAAAGACAGCTGAACACATTGAGCAAACAAGCCGAGGAATCAGTAGCAAGCCTTCTGTTCAGTGTGGATGTTCAACTGTCCTCACTAGAGCACAGAGTCCTACGGGTGTGAAGGATTTGGAGGTCCAAAATTTTGCAGAGGTTGCGGCATGAAAGTCCGGAGGAGCCTCCCAGAGAACAAGGTCTTAGGGGCCAAGGGGGGACTTGTCAGAATAGCTGGAAGTAAATACAGTCTTCTGTTCTCCACCCAACTGCAGTGCCCTCCACCTCGCAGAGTGCCAATCCAGGAGCCCTTGGGATAAGACTAGGAAACTGCTACACTAGTGCTAGCTTTTACAACAAAGCAGATCTTGTATCCAATTAAGTGGCCCAAAATCATAAGTAAATGTGCCTATCCCCCTTCCAACATCTATTCTAAAAGTGCCGGTAAATCTTCTTAGAAAATGGAGTATAATGGCCACTAGCCTGCTCCCCAAGGTTCGGGTTGGTTTACTGACTAGGACTCATCTGCCTGTCCTCGGGTTCTGCCAGAATTACTTGGAAGCAGAAAGTAAAATCTGACCTGTTTCCTATTCCCACTTCACTATATTGCCTCTTTCCCCCCTTTTGAGTCCCTTATTTTCTACCCATTCTCCTCCCAACCACCCCCCACCCCCACCCCACTGCTCATAGGAGCTGGTGCCACTTGAATACGCCCAGAGTGGAAAATAGGCTCAAATGTGCTGCACTGACAACAGTCTGTTAAGTAGTGATGTTGGGCACCAGGTGTATAAACTTTCCAGTGTATGGTTAAACTGTTAAACTTTCCAGTGTATGGTTCTAAGTCTTAACAAAAGCGTATAGTTATGTAACCATCCAGTCCCTGGCTACTACTATTTTCTGTCCCTATAGTTGATGTGAGCAACTAACTCAAATTTTTCTTAAGATAGTGTGCAGGTCAAATCTGTTATCTGGAAGGTTAAATTCAAAATCCATCTGACTTAAGTTTGCTTTCCTGGCTTAGGCTATTATCAAAGACAGCTCTTTGTTCCCGGCCCAAATCCCTGGTCAAGAAAACCTGAAACCTGGCTCACCTGCTAGGAGTGCATGGTGAATGGGGGAAGCAAAGGAGACCAAATATAATTCGTTAGTTGAGTAGGTCAGTCATCATTCTAAAATTTGTTAAATACACTACTGCATGCCAGATATACATTATGAGAGGTAACCATTACCTACATTTTTTTCACATAGGGACGATTTTAAGATTTATTTATGCATACAGAACTGGGGTACAGGCAAGGGTGCAGGGACAGTGAGAGGATTCACCAGAGTGGCAGAATAGGCAGATTAACGAAGTACACTGCTGAGGGGAGCAGCGGGCAGGTCAGGAGAGGTCTGCTGCGCCACGTGGGTCACCTCCCTGGCCAGGGATCAAACTGGTGCTTAAGTGACTGCAGCCAGCTTCATAGTGTGTGGTTTACCCTGTTGCACCACCAGGGAGGACCCGATGATTTTAAAAAGCTACCCCAGGCCACAGAAGGAACTTAGGCAAATAGGGCCTCGCTGGGAATGCCAGCCCAGCTGGGCAAGGGGAGGGCAAAGGAGAGAAAGCAAACTGTCCAACTTTTGAGGGCTTCCTAAGCATACCTCTCCAGGAAGGAGAGGGAGGACAAGGCCTGGCATCGAGGAGGCTTGTGTACCACCCTCATTCCTGTCGGCCCCATTGCCCGGTCACTCCTTTGGGCTCTCCCAAGCCTAGGATCAACTGCATGTGCCCTTCTAGTCACTGGCCGCTCTCACTTAAGAACAGAGAGACCAGCTCAGTAGCACTTAAGCTGAGAGCTGTACACAGTGAAGGAGTTGTCTGAAAGTTCTGCTCCCAGAGGTGGGGCATCCCTGCTCCATGCTACCACCTTACTGCTCAGAGGGATAGTGAGAGTTAACTAGCCACCCAGCCTGGAGAGGATGAGAAAGAGGGCCTTGGCCCTGAGGGAGGTCACCAGCACCCCCTCTGTGAGTCAGTGGCAGCCTCTGACATCAACAACAGTCATGTGCTTCAGTCCTCCAGTCTCCCCATATCACCTCCTCTCTCAGAGCAGCCATATCCACGGATAGCAACAGCAGGGCCTTGACCATTATCTGGACAATCTGCCTCATAATAACCCCGTCCCCACCCCACCACCTGCACTGAGGCACACGTGATTCAGGTGCACATGTAGCATGTCGGGAGGAGAGCCTTGAAGCAGCCGGCATCTAGTCTACTCAGAATGCCCCCTCCCTGTCTATGAAGGCAGACAGAGGCCACAGGCTGGGGACAAACTAGAGAGGCCAACTCTCCCTCCAGTGCTGACTTCCCTGGGACTCTGCAAGGACTGGAAGCAGCCTATAGCCGGGTCAGCCAAGTCAAAAACTGCCCCTGCAACCCCCAGCAGCTTCCCCATCAGTCACCCAAGTAGAACAGGAGCTCAGCCTGCTCTGACTGGTCTGGAGCCGAGTGCTAGAGGCAAGGGAGGGGTGAGATGGGAAATGGACATGACACTTGCTTCGGGGAGAAACAGTCCCACAAAAAAGAAAAAAGACCAGCAAGGGTGGGGATGGGGGCCTCTCTGGTGGCACAAGGGGTTAAGTCCACACCAGCCAGGGAGGTGGCACATGGCACGGCAGACCTCTCCCATCTCACCTGCTGCTCCTGTCAGCACTGTATTTCAGTAAATCCACCTGTTCTGCTCCTTACTCTGCCTCTGGTGAATCCTTACAGACCCTGCACCTCTGGCCTACACCCCAGCTCTTCTATGCATAAAATAAATCTTTTAAAAGTCTAGCAAACACAGTTATCAACAAATCAACACCAGAGATGTGCCTCTAGTTGTGCTGATGGTCAGGATCGAGTCAGAGGGCTAAGTTATTTCAGAACGTCTGGATAGCCAAGGAAGGCTTGACAGAGAAGGAGTCGCAGCAGGTCCCAAGTTACAGTCCAAGGTGCCTCTGGGCAGTTAATGCTCAGTGAGGAGCCAGGATGAGGGTTGCTGGGACCCTTCCCACTGTTCAAGCAGAAGTTGAAATGGGGGGCAGTGTGGAACCTGCCCTGTTCAATGTGGGCTCCAGGCACCCCAGGTGAGTCTCAGCAGATCCTGTCCTTCCATCTTTTCTGGAGTGAGGGACACAGGCAGAGCCAGTGGAAACGCGCTCCCTGATTTTTAGGTCTTCCTTCTGTCTCAGCAGTGGTGAGAGGACACAGAACTCTTGCCCATAGGGGGCAGACCCCAGGTCAGGGGCAAATCCAATCTGACTTTCAAGCCCCGATGTTCCTGCTAGGTGAATCTGGCTTAAAAGCAACCTCAAGGTCAACCTTAGAGGCAAAAGATTTGGTTAAATTCCAGCAATCAAACTGGAAGGCCATCCCCCTCATGGAGTCCGGGGAGTCCTGTTGGGGTTTTGGAGGAGACTCACAGTCTCCTTTTGGTGCATCACCAGTCCCTGGTTAGGAGCACAGCACCCCCAGGGCTCAAAGACTGAGGGGAGGAGTGCAGTACGGTGCCTGCTCAACATTTCTGCTGCTAGTCCTGTGGCCCAGCCTAGGTCTCCCCAGCAAAGTGTGAGGAAGGCTACAGGACATGGGTGCCCAGATGCCCTCTCCTGGCACCTCTGCCAGTCCTACCCTCTGTGAACTTTCAGGAGTCAACCTGAAGTTCCATCCCTGCTCCAGCACAAACCTCTAAGAAGGAAAGAACAGGATTCTGATAAAGCTCCTTTTATAAGTGTAAGAGTAAATAACTGAAGTTGAGCACACAAAGTGTGTCCTGGGGTAGCAGGAGGAAGAATGTAAAAACGGACTGCACTGCCCCAGCCCTGCCAGTCCCTTGAACTCTGTTAACTCCAGGCTCCCCACCTGGGATCCCAAACTTCCATCACTAGACTCTCTTAGCAGACACCCTGGCACCATGCCACAGGGCAGCCATTTACCAAAGCAAAGCAGGGTATGCGGGTTCACGGAAGACCCGCATGACAATCACCTGCATTTTTTTTTAAAATGCAGGATTCCAAACCTCAACTCATAGCCTGTTAACTAAGGGCAAGGGCTAGAAATCTACCTTTCAACAGAACCCTGGTGCCATGTGAAAAATGCTGTGCTATGACACAGGCTTTCTTCTAAACTGCCTCACCGCAGCTGCTTCTCTCCCTGCCCTCCACCCACCCAAGTCAGGCTCCAACCTCCCTACTCTGCACCCTCCTTACCATCTGCAACCCCCGTTCCCCACAAAATGGCTAAAGCAGCTCTGAGGCAATCTCTCTATCCTTGACCCTTTCCTTTGCACAGTGAGTGATGGCTTTTTTATCTCCCAGGGATGAAGCACAGCCTTCAGCTGGGAGCATTTAAGACGCACACCACACTAGGTCCCAGTCACAGCTGCAAGAACCAGAGGTAGACCCTTGGCAGGCCCAGGAAGGACAGAAGCAACCACAGCGAGAGCAGAGGCCACAGCAGCACAACTCCCACCGCTGTCCCACCGCTGCAATGCTCCTGGCAACGTTTAAGTTGTGTGCCGGGAGCTCTTACAGACACGTGCGCAACATGAAGGGTGAGTTCCCCATGGAGCAGGCCTTGGGGGGAACAGGTGCTCTCAGGCCATGTGCTTCAGTGCAGAAGGCTGGGATGGGGGTCAGGCCACTGAGTTCTGACCAGTAATACTTCTGTGCCAGAAGCCTGTGCAAGCCTCATCCCTTCTGGGCCTCTATGTTCCTAGCTGAAGACAGGCTGGATACTCAAGTGCCCACATCCTCCAGGATTCTGTAATATCTGGTGGCCCTCCAGGTGCCAATCTTTCTATTCTTCCTAGCTTTGCCTTCCTCTAGGCGGTTACTAAGGGCACCAGGAAGGTCTCAGGCACAGCAGTAGATGTAGCCTTGACTCCAACAGTGCTCACAGGCCTGAGGTGAGCAGGGAGGAGAGGGGAAGGGAAAGGAAGTGAGTAAAACAGCAGGAGCAAAGCAGAGAAAAAGTGGGTGGTGGTAGGAAGTCTTGTCACCATACAGGCAAGAGCAGGCAGAAACCCATTACTAAGGGCCAGTTGGGAAAGCTAGGATGCAAGGCCATGAGTCAACCTCCTCCTGCTGCTGCTGCTGATGCTGCAGGGCACACAATGAACCCTAAAGTAACCCTTTCCAATTACTGAGGGTTAAATTAGCTTTTATCCTTTAGCTAGAAGCCAGACTTGGAAGACCAGCACCCAGCTGTGAGAATGTTCTCACTCCATCAATAAGACTTACTGGGTCAGGGACCACCCTGGTGGCACATGTTAAAGTGCAGCACTATGAAGCAACCCACAGCCACTGCAGCATGAGTTCAATCCCCAGCTGAGAGCTAACGCACATAGTGGGGCAGACCTCTCCTGACCTGCCCGCTGCTCCCCTCAGCAGTATATTTTCGTCAATCTGCCTGTTCTGCTCCCCACTGTCCCTGGTGAATCCTCTCACCCCCGCACCTCTGGCCTGTACCCCAATTCTTGTATGCATAAATATTTTAAAAGACTTACCTGGGTCAGATTCTAGCAACACAAAGACAGCAGGGGATGGTGCCTTTATTCCCCTTCTGAAGCAGTATTTCCCGATTGTTTGAACAAAGCTCCTTGCATGAAGTCAACTTCGGCAGCTCACCCTTGGTAGGGCCAGGCCTGGCCAACGAAGATGGGAGGCAGTAGACTTACTTCTGGGCCTTGGCAGATGCTTAGTGTAGCACAGAAGCACTGAACTTGGAGTTGAAGACCTGGCTCTAGTCATATTAGGAAACCGTGTTCCAGAGAATCTTCCAAATCAGTTTCTTGGTCTGTGGCAAGATGGGGTGAAATGGTCCATCTCTGAGGGGCTGATGCCTGAGCAACACTTTCCTTCCTTCCCTGCAGGGCTGAGGCACCAAGCTGTGCTAGCCATTGGCCAGGAGCTGAACAGAAGGGCACTGGGGGGTCCAACGCCCAGTGCATGGATTAACCAAGTCAGACGTCGGAGCTCTCTGCTGGGTAAGTGCTGAGGCTTCTGGCCTTCTGCCAGAGGTAGGAGGCGCCCACGGTGCAAACACTGCATAGGACCCTGTGTCCTCTCCCATCCTATTCCCCACCTCTCACTTATTTTTCAATAATGTTCCTCAATACCAGATCCCTGCCCTGCCACTTGTAGCTGAGGTCTAATTTGACCTGAAGGTTGAACCCTGTGACGTTAGTCTTGGCTCTTCAGAGGAGAGAGGTCCAGAGATCAAAGGGGTGCAAGCTGGTGGGAGGCCAGGGGACCGGAAGGAAGGCTGGCTGACCCTCAGTTCTATGTCCAGGGTCTCGGCTGGAAGACACTTTCTACAGCGACCAGGAGTTGGCCTACATCCAGCAGGGAGAGGAGGCCATGAAGAAGGCCCTAGGCATCCTCAGCAACCAGGAGGGCTGGAAGAATGAGAACCAGCAGGTAAGGATGATCCTGGAGGAACCAATAGTCCTCACTATTCCAGTGCCATCTTTAAAGGTCTCTATTCTTATACTCCTATCACATACAGGAGTCACTGGGCAACTGAACTCTCCTTTCCCGAGAATATATGCTCAGATAGCCCCATTCCCCATCAAACATCCTGGAGACTTGTTTAAGCAAGTTTCCATATCTTTAGCTACCTTCCAAATGTGTGTGTACCCTCATCAGGCCATGCAATGGCATCATGGGCACTAGAGGTTTCTTCACTCTGGGTCAAGTTCCAGTGCAGCTTGCAGTGTCTGTGCTGCTCACCTTGTTTGGGTGACCCAAGCTCATTTGCAGCAGGACTGAACTGGAGCACAGGTGACCCTCAGGCCTCTTGAGTTCTCTGCCCACGAGCATAGCACCTTCACTGGGAGCCAGCATGAAGGCACATGTTTCAAAGTTAGTGATTCTATAGAAACTTTCCTGGCTGTCCCTTCACCAAAAGCTTATGTGCTGCCTCTTGCCAAGTTCAGATAAAATCTTTCTCCGAGTTCTCAGAATTAATACACTAATTTGGGAATATGGGATCTAGGCCCAGCATTGCTCTTAGCTAAGGGAACCTGGGCAATTCACTGACTGCCTCTAGTCTAACATCTCTCTGGTGTAAAGTGAGGTTACTGGACTGAAATCATCTTCAAGAACCTGTCCTACATTCTGTGTGTGTATAGCTGATTTAGGCCAGAATTTTTCTATTCTCAGCTTTCTATCTTTCAGGATGCTTGAGGTTCTGAAGGGCCTTTTCAGTTGGATTTATCTACACTAACAACATTTGCCACCAGGGAGTTTATTTGCCACATCATAGCAGATTATGAGGTTGTAGCAAGAATGATTACCTAGGGCCCTCCCTGGTGGTACAAGCGGTTAAAGTGCAGCACTATGAAGCTGTCTGCAGCCACTGTAGCACAAATTCAATCCCCAGCCAGGGAGTAGACCCATGGCACAGCAGACCTCTCCTGACTCACCCACTGCTCTCCTCAGCAGTGTATTTCAGTCAATCCACCTGTTCTGCTCCCCACTGTGTCTGGTGAATCCTCTTACCTCCCCCCCGACAACCGCCACACATCTGGCCTGGATGCCAGTTCTTGCATGCAAAAATAAATATTTAAAATAAAAAAGAAAGATTCCCTAGTCTGCCTTAAATCAGAGTGGTTCCAAGCTTTCTCATGCTTGAAAGTTCTTTGCTCTTCCCCTTCCTGCCTTACCTGGCGTGGTCAATGTGCCCTTGGCTAGAAACACTTTTCTCTAACCTTTATCCTGGGCTTCTTTCCATCATGACAGATGAATGGGGACAAAGTGTTGAGTAAAGTGGTCCCAGATGTGGGCAAGGTATTCCGGTTAGAGGTTGTGGTGGACCAGCCCATGGAAAGGCTCTATGAAGAACTTGTGGAACGCATGGAGGCCATGGGCGAGTGGAACCCGAATGTCAAAGAGATCAAGGTGAGGAGAATCCAGGTGTGGGTGGAAAGGAGAGCCTGATCTGAAAGATGGAAAAAGGAAGGAAAGGGCTGCAGCTGCGGGTGGTGCCTTAGCCCAAGTATGGCTGAATGCTGATTCTGGTTCCCTGTGGCTTGGTAGGTCCTGCAGAAGATTGGAAAAGATACAGTCATCACCCACGAGCTGGCAGCAGAATCAGCAGGAAACCTTGTGGGGCCCCGTGACTTTGTGAGTGTGCGCTGTGCCAAGCGCCGAGGCTCCACCTGTGTGCTGGCTGGCATGGCCACACACTTCGGGGAGATGCCTGAGCAGAAAGGTGTCATCAGGTAATACTGGCAGTGGGCTCAGAAGTTCCCTTTTTCCTAAACCAGGCCTGTGGGTACGCACCTACCTCGTGTGATGAATCCTGACTCCAAGAAACCAGTCCTTTACCTCAACCCACAGTTGCCTTTTCCAAAGGAAGATTCTCATTTTCCACAGAAGGGAAGGAAGATTGATCCTTAATATATAGCAGTTTGTCCTGACCCTTCCAAAGTTTAAGACAATATTTTTCTAAAGCAAGACGGTAGGTTAAGGTTTAGCTGGTATGCTGGCATACAACTATACTGGTGATTAAAATATACTCTGTCACTTACACCGCTGTTATCTTAAGTTTCTAGAGCCCCAGTTAACACCATAGAACCCCATCCCTGATCTCCCTCTGACCCAGAACAAGAAAGGCACCATAGGGCCTCCCTGGTGACACAGGGGTTAAAGTCACAGTGCTATCAAGCTATCACCAGCCACTGTGACATGAATTCCTTCCCCAGCCAGGGAGCTGACCCTCATGGCACAGCAGACCTCTCCTATCTTGCCCTCAGCACCCCTTAGCAGTGTATTTCATAAATCCCACTATTCTGCTCCCCACTCTGTCTCTGCACCTCTGGTAAATCCTCTCATCCCCTGCATCTCTGGCCTGCATTTCAATTTTTTTTACATAAATAAATCTTCAAAAAAATTAAAAGGTACCATAGGAAGCCTCCCAATTCTGCTGCAGCTAGAAAACATTTGTTCCAATGAGCTGGTAACCTTGACATTAACTTATCACCCTTGGCAAAGGGTACTTCTCTGATGTGATCTGGAAAAGGCACTGAAGAAACGTAGTGGATATTACTGGCCAGCATTAAAGAGAACTCTGACTAGTCCGCCTGAGTCAACTTTGCTTCATTTGCAGAGCTGAACATGGTCCCACTTGCATGGTACTCCATCCCCTGCCTGGATGTCCCTCAAAGACCAAGCTCACGTGGCTGCTCAGCATTGACCTCAAGGTAAGGGGCATGGGAGGTGGCTAATGGGTAGTGTTGTCAAGAAAACATGTTCTTTCCACTCCTGTATTAAAGTACCTCTTCCATTTTGAGAGAATCAGATTACTGTAGTCGAGACTTAAATAATGCTATTCCACTATTTTAAAAGCCTGTAAGTTGCCCCTTCTTTTATGAAATTTCAAATCTGTAGTTAGCATGTTGCAAAGGAAAGCTAGGCCAGTAGAATATGGCAACTTGCTCTGGATCACACAGCTAGAAACAGGACTGAAATTTGTGTTGATAAAACTGTGCTTCTGATTCTGTCAATGATAGCAGGGCAGCAATGAAGTCTTCTAACCTTTGACTCTGGTCAACTATACTTTATAAGCAAGCGCTGGAACACCAAGCCCCAGACAACCCAAGCTATTGTGTAGGGGAGCAGAGGTGTCTAGAATGGTACATCACCCCCCTTATGACCAAATCCTCCTCTCTTCCACTCTAGGGATGGCTGCCAAAGACGATCATCAACCAGGTTCTCTCACAGACGCAGATGGATTTTGCCAATCACCTGCGAAAGCGCCTGGAGTCCAGCCCTGTTGCTGAAGTCAGATGCTGAAGTCCTCCCAGCTGTTCTAGCTACCTGGGCCTGCATGCGCCCTGCTAGATGCCTGCAGGTCACTTAAGAATTTCATCTGGAGACGAAATCTGTGGGGTGGGATGGTAATGTATTTAGAGCATGACAGGAGGACTCAAGTTGGTAAATGTTTAGTACCAAGAAAATAGTACCAAGGCTCTCGGCTCTTAAAAAGGAAGAGCCTTCCACGTCACTCACTGTGAAATTTAAGTTAAGGATCCCAAAATAACTTTTTTTCTGGGACCTTGACACCCAAAAATATCTTTAAAATGTTACTAGGTGTTTTCCAGAAATCTAGCCCAATTTTCTAGATGGAAAAAAAAAAAAAAAAAGAAACACAAAACTATTCAACTGCACCCTACTGCTTCCAGAAGCAGTCAGATAAAAATCTGACACAAAAACTTCTATCTGTACCTGTTTGAAAATTCTACTAAAATTATTTCTTCTAGTCTTAGACACATTTTGACTAGTTAGCCTAATTCCTCTAGCTTACTAAGGGGAAAAACTACTGGGGATCATGTCATTCAATCGTTTAGAATAAATCATCTAGAATCATAAAACTTTAATTCTGTGATATGCACAACCCTAAAGATCTTAAAAGAATTCTGTAACTGATAGCTGACTGATGGGTACCGGAAGATGATTATAACTGAAGATTCTTATTTCCTTAATAAAAAGGAAAGTTCCATACATAAGAACAGCATTACTAAGATAAACAAAAGTGGGCTATCTTCTCCCATAATGGACTACTTAAACCTAAAAAAGGGGACTGAAACTTAATTCAAAGTATTTTATCAGCTCTCAATGTGGTTTAAACTGTAATTTCTCAGCCTTAATGAATCAATGTTTTACTATTTTGAGAGGGCTAATCTGCTGATAGCAAATTCCCTTTCAAGTTTCAGATATCTTATATTTTAAAAATAAAATTGGGAAGGGATTATTTTGCTAAAATGTATATATAGGACCAAAAAAATATCAACCATTGCCACTTGAAGTCTCCCCCCACCCTAATAGCAATAATGATTTATTTACATGGTGAAGAGAGCTCTAATTTTTTTTTTATTAAACCAAGTAGCACTAGTGGGAATGTCAATTATTTATTGAGGTACTAAAATTTTACTGATAGAGGTATTTATTATTATTTATTCTAATTGTTTTAGTTTATTTTTGGTATAGATGAAATTATTATTTACCCATCCAAGAGCTTCAGAGTCAAAGGGGTAGTTGAAGTACTTGTAAAACAGAATTATCATCCATTCCCACTTAAGAGAAGTTGGATACTTGTTTAAAGATGTGTAAAGTGATATATTTCCTTGTTTCACTGAACAGGCTGATAATAAAGAACACGGCTCTCAACAAACACCATCGTTTTGGGCTGAATTATAATTTATTGTCTTAAAATTATATAATTGTATCTTTGAGGTGTCTGGGAAGTTATTTTTTTTTTAAAGTTTATTTTTACATCATTTTGCACATTTTTTTTTCATCTCCATTGTAATCCCCACGGGTTTCCCATCACCAAATCACCCCTGTGCCACCACCATAGTCCCGTGCCATTTCCATCTCTCCCACCCCCCTGTTTTTGATCCCATTCCCCACTCCACCCCCACAGAATGTCTCTGGTCTATGGTTGTTCATTATTTTTGTTATTTTCAAGCCTGGTCCATTATACTCCTGCTATGAGTGAAACCATCCGGTATTTTTCTTTCTCTTTCTGGCTTATCTCACTAAGCATGATCTTTTCCAGCTCCATCCAAGTTGCTGCAAAAGACATGTGTTTCTCTTTTTTGGTTGCTGAGTAATATTCCATTGTATATATGTACCACATCTTTCTAATCCAGTCATCTACTTTTGGGCATTTGGGCTGCTTCCATGTTTTTCCAATTGTAAATAAAGCAGCAATAAACATGGGGGTACAAGTATCTTTTTCAATCAGTGTTTTTGTGTCTTTTGGGTAGATACCTAGGAGTGGGATTGCTGGGTCATAGGGAAGCTCCATGTTTAGCAGTTTGAGGAACCTTGTCTGGGAAGTTATTTTATCACTGGTTTAATTTTACACTGAAATAAAGTAAGTTGTTGGTGATGATCTGCGTACAGAAACTGTTGCATAAAGGAAGATAGGGAAGACTGAGTATACTTTGAACCTTTCAAATGAGCCTTATGGAAACACACAACAGAGTGGTTACTTCTGTAACTTCTGATTTATGAAAGTCAAATACACAAAAATCTAATTTTATAATTTAGATAAAGCAAGAGCAATTATGTTACAAATACTTTATTTCCAAACTCCTCTAAATAACACCACCCTCACTATCTTAAAGACCTCCATACTCATGACCCAGAAGTTTTATAGCCAGCCATGTCCTTTAAGATCAGCCATGAATGGACCAGGCGAGAAAATAACAAAAATAATGAACAACCATATACCAGAGACATTTTGTGGGGTGGAGTGGGGAATGGGATCAAAAACGGTGGGGGGCGGGGAAGGGAGGGAAATGCACGGGACTATGGTGGTGGCACAGGGGTGATTTGGTGATGGGAAACCCGCAGGGATTACAATCAAGATGGAAAAAAAAATGTGCAAAATGATGTAAAAATAAACTTTTGTAATAATTAAAAAAAAAAAGATCAGCCATGAATGGTTGGCGAGGGGAACAGGCTGAGACTCAAGCCTATAATCCTGTTGTTAGTTTTTCTGTGAGGGGTACACAATGGCAAAAAAGAGCCTGTGTCATTTGTTACGAGACAGATATATTAGTCAAAGCCACTGTGTTATGGGGCCTTCCTGTTGGCACAGGGGTTAAGTGTCAACACTATCAAGCTATTGCCAGCCAGTGAAACATAGAGCTCGAACCCCAGCCAAGGAGCTAACTCACATGGCACATCAGACCCTTCCTGTCTTACCTGCTGCTCCCCTCAGCATGTATGTCAGTAGATCTGCCTGTTTTGCTCCCGATTCTGTCTCTGGTGAATCCTCTCACCTCCCACACCTCTGGACTACACCCCAGCTGTTGAATGCATAAATTAAATAAAACAAACCAAAAAAAGCCTCTGAGAAGTCACTTGAAATTTTTACAACTTCTTTGGCAGGCATAATATATGGTAATTCTTGGTAATATCTAGCTATCTTATGGTAAACCACTCTACCTTTAATCTAGGTAGAAAGTTACATGCAAGACTCTTTGGCAATCCTGGGGTCGGGATTGTATTGCCAATGATGCAACTTTTTTTTTTTTCCCCAAGATTTGTCTATTAATACATACAAGACCTGTTGTGTAGGTCAGAAGTGTCGGGCCGGGGAGATGAGGTGAGAGGATTCATCCTGACAGAGTAGGGAGCAGAACGGGCAGATCTACTGAAATACACTGCTGAGAGCAGCAGGTGAGACAGGAGAGCTCTGCTGCAGCATATGTGGATCAGCTCCCTGCTGGGGACTGAACTTATGCTGCAGTGACTGCAGATAGCTTCATGGTGCTAAGACTTAACCCCTTGCACCACTAGGGAGGCCACTCTCCCTGATGCATCATTAAATGATATTGATGTATCATTAAAGGAAGATAGGGAAGCCATAACAGGATCCCAAAGAAAGGATCATTCTTATTTTCCAAGTTTTAGTATTCTGAAAACTACCCTTAATCCAACTACTACGAAGGAATATAAGCAAGACAGGAAAACAATCTGCATGTACCAACGCACATGTTCAAAGTAAAGAGCAAGAGGAAAGTTAATAGTTTTTTTGAAACTCTTGCTCATTTCTTTAAGAAAAAGGGGGTGATGAGCTGAATGGTGAGAATGAAGTAAAAGGAACAGGTAGGTATACAAGCCAGAAATTGTCTCCTCCAATGTTGACTCCCCATGCTTTGCTTTGGATGTTGTCATGGAGAAACCTGAATGGTAAAAAAAGTGCCACACAAACTTGAAGACAAGTTTTATTTGGGAAGTTTCCAATTGTTAAATTGCAAGCAAGTTCTTTTGCACAATTACAGTTCTAGAGACTTCAGCATTTCAGAGATCCCAATGTTGAGAAGATTTCAAAACTAATGACAAAAACAAGCCCACACCAAAAAAAAAAGAGCTTTGGGGCTAGTTTTTAAATGTACGGCTACTGATTTCAGCTGTTCTCACAAACAGACCCACCAATTCCTTAAAAAAAAGGTGGGATGGAGTCAATGCCCACAGAAGGAAATGCCTTTAAATAAGTTAAATGGACAAGATTATTCAGTCCTTAGAAAATACAGTAGGAGACTAAGTCCCAGTTGGCGGGTTATGTGGCACAGCACCAGTTTCACAGGGAGCTCGTGGGAATCTAGGTCAGCAGTTATTAGCAAATGGCACACAAAATAAGAGCCGTCACCAGAAGTAGGGAGAGTATTAAAGGGAAGGCATTTTCCCAGACCACTCAGCCTTTAACTTACTAAAAGCAGAGGCTGTGATTTACAGCATCTTCTGGAGAACATTTACAACAGTCAAACAAAACCCTGCCTCCCCTGTATTATTCCCCAGAAAGTCCATGACTACAAAAAGGGCCCTGGTCAGGGTTCCCATGGGGGACTCCGCCTCCCATCCACTTCTGTTTCCACATGATATAAGACATCAGCCAGAGTGTGCTCTACCACAGCGCCCCAGCCCATGTCACTCATCTGGGGGAGGAACAAGAAACAGCAAATGAAGTGATTAGAATAACTATAGCAAGAAATAACAAAGATTTTAATAATGCACTTTTTTTTTTAATGTTACTCACAGGGCGGTAAGTGAGGTCCTTTGGGGGATACTTGAAGCATGGTCCAAAGTTAATGGAAACCTGGGATAAATTCAATTCAAGCAGAAGTGAAAGGTTAATTTGACATGGCAAATTTTAAATATAGTCATGCATTGAGGATATAACAGGAACAGATATTAATACTGCTAAAAGTGACTCAACATCCTAATGTCCATTTATCAAGAATTAAGAAAATTGTTAAAACAGACTTGTATTGGTTTTCTTTATAACCTAAAGATTTTCTTATTTTACTTCAATGATGGCTAAAACAGTGAAAGAAATACATGGAAACATCTAGGCA